TTCAAGCCCCACGACCGACAAAAAAAAAAAAACTTTTTATTGTAAAAGTGTTGTACAGAGGGGTTACAGTTACATAAGTAGGGCAATGAATACATTTCTTGCCCAACTCCCCCCTCCCCAAGTTGTAAAATTCATTTCCAACATAGTATCTTGTGAGTATCACTGTTGCATTGGTTTACACTTTTGTTCTTTGCCTCACCATTTTTATGCCCCTTCCCTTCTCCAAATCAGATACACATATAAACTAGACACAGGGTACAAAAATTAAAAACAGTGACATCGGGGGATAGACCAAAGGAAAAGAAAGAAAGAAGATATAACTTCACACAGTACATTAAAAAACAACAACCAAAAAAAAAACCTCTTGTTTCCATATCTTGGATTTCTTTTTGATTAACATCATTTTTATATGGTCATATGTACATAGCATTGAGCTATTGTGATCCTCTGCTAGTACTATCCTAGACATATACTGATTCTTAAAAATGAGGGGGGAAAAACCTGTTTGGGGGGTCTGGCTTACTTAACTTAATATGAATTTTCCTAGTCTTTCCATTTCCTTATGGAATGGGGCAATGTCATTCTTTCTGATGGAAGCAAGTAATTCCATTTTGTATATATACCACATTTTCTTGATCCAGATGCTGAGGGACATCTGGGCTGATTTTACATCTTAGCTATGGTAAATAATGCTGCAATGAACATGGTTGTGCTAGTCACTTTAGTGTGGCCTTGTTTGTGATCATTTGAGTAAATGACCAGGAATTGGATTTCTGTAACATAGGGAGTTCTATGTTTAGTCTTTTGAGGAACCACCATACTGCTTTCCAGAGTGGTTGAACCAGTTTAGATTCCCATCAATAGTATAGTAGTGTGCCCTTTTGGCCACATCCCCATCAGCATCTGTTATTATCTGTTTTCTTGATATTGACCATTCTAACTGGGGTGAGGTGGAATATGTATTTCTCATGGCCAGAGATGTTGAACATTTCTTCATGTGTCTATTGGCTATTCTTGTTTCTTCTCGAGAGACATCTCTCTTTCATCTTTTAATGATGCATCTCTTTTCACAGTATTCTGAATTACGAAGAGAGATCTCTGTCAGGCTCCCTTTCCTCAGTTCATACAAATTGACTTGCAGAACATAATGTAGGTGCCTGAAAAGAAAATGCAGGCTATTGCTACAGGAGGTTCAGGTCTCAGGTCCATACCAACTTACGAAGAAAAAACGAGAAAGATATATTTTAGAGAGAAAATGTCTGCCCTTCAGGAGATTTCCACTTCTTGTCTCACTATAAACCTTTGTGTCCCATAAAAGCCTTTCTTATCCTGATTTATCCCCTCCCTGAAGTCTCCTCTCCCCTTCTATACACACCAAGATGGAGACTTAAGACATCAAAGATTCCTCCAGCCAGATCACAGGTGACCCATGTCTGTAATTCTCACTACTCCGGAGCCTCAATTTGAGGCCAGCCCAGGCAGAAAAGTTCATAAAACACTATCTAAAAAGAAAAAGAAAAGAAAAACAGCATAAACCAAGGCAGGAGATGTGGCTCAAGTGATAGTATGCCAGGCTAGCAAGCAGAAGGCCATGAGTTCAAATCTCAGTACTGGAAAATAAAAGAGAGAAAAAAAAGTGTTCTCTTTTTAGGGCTAGCTTTAAATAAATCTATTTTATTCCATTAATTTTTGTCTTCCTAGTTTTCAGCACTGTGGTGAGCATGCTATGAGCCTTAGCTTATAGTAGCACTAGAAGCCTGCTATATTGGAATGCTGAATGAAATGGATATTAACTGAAAATTGAAAATGACAGCAGAGGAGATTGAATAAAGATATCAGTGTGAGCACACAAATCTGTTTCCACTTTTTCTCCAATCCCTAAGAATGTCCCAAAGTATCTTTTCTAAGAAATTCTTTATAAGAATACAAACTAGAAGAATGTCAGCAGAAAACCTGAAATCTTGGGAATTTCCTGGCAAGCTAAAGCAAAGGTGATCAGGAGAGAACAATGAACACCAAAAACCAAAGAATGTTCAGGGAATAAGAAATCAGCTTTAGATTTAAGTGACTATTGAATAACACTGAGCAGACTCACTCAAGAGAAGGGGGAGGGGCATCTACAGTGGAAACACTGTACTTCTAGAACAGATTCTTCACCCTGCCTATATCTGGGTCACTTGCCCTGAAACTTCCCAGTTGGTCCCATGTCTTACCCTACTCCCTGAGTGCAGCCAGTCTGGTCCTGTGCCTGGGCTTTAAAAGATAATGTGTGGTAGAAGTGACGATGGGTCCTTTCTGATCATGTGTGTTAGTTAGAAGCCTTGTGTTGTCTCACGTATTTCCAGTTGCTGTTCTTGAACTTCTATGGTTACCATAACTCTCCAAATGGGCTATGAAGATGTGAGACATATGTATTAGGAGAAAGTCACCACCATAGTCCCCTCTGCCCATGGCCAGCCAATTCTCAGGTATGCAAGTGAGCCATTCAGGTTTGTGGCTGTTGTCACAGGCATCATTGCAGCCATATATAATTGATAGAGCTCCCCCGCCCACCCCGTGTGTGTAACACTACATCATTGCTAATGAAGAGCAATTGCTAAGCCATGGTATTCGACTCCAGAACTAAACCACTGCCTGCTCTCTACAGAACAGGTGCCCAAGGAAATTTCCAAGTGGACACAGATGCTTAAGAAAGAATTGGGCTGGAAAAACTAAAGACCAGACCTTCCAGGGAAAATGGAAAGAAAGGGCATTTTTACTTAGGAGGAAATGAATTTCTCTCACACCAGCAGTGAAGGAAGCCCTTCTTGACAGCATTAGAGGAGCAGCCACAGTGCTTGCCTGCTGCATTTTGAAGTAGACAAAAATGAGATGTATGAACTGACACACTCTGATCCATTACATAGAACCTGTCAATAGCCCTTATACTTAGAAGACCCGAGGCAGGCCAGATCTGTGTCATCACACACAAAAAAGCCTGCATGGCTGTCTATATCATCTGCCTCCATTTCACTCCTTATTACTGTCTATATCATCTGCCTCCATTTCACTCCTTATTACCGAGAGACAACCAAGAAATACCAGATATTCAAGAAAATCATTTGACCTGAAGGAGAGATAATAAGATGAGCCAACTAATCTTAGCAGAAACAATTCAGTCAAGGAAGGAAATATTGTGTTGGGAACATGAGGAATTAGGATCCCTTCAAGAAAAATTTACTGAGAGTAAAAACAGCTGCATCCAAAATCCTGGTCCCTCCGGCTCATCTCATCTCTCAATTCTGTTACTGGGGACCTATAGCCTCAACTACGTGTTAAGTCAATATATGCCTCCTTCCTAGCTTTTCTACCTTCTTTTCTTTAAGTTGTAGCACAGTTATAGGCAAAAAACAAAAATTGAGAAGTTCTCTCTTCTCAGTTTTAGCCAACACTGAAAATAAATTTGTTTTGGCATATATACAAAATTCTTTTTTTTAATGTGATAACTGGTAAGGATAAATAAGGAGGAAGAATGATGGAAGGAGTGAAATTCATCAAGGTGTATTTTACTTATAGACTGACATGTTGAGCTAAAACCCCTTTGTAGAACTGAAGATGAAGCAAAAGAAGAATCTTTTGCAACAATGAGATGTACAAGATATTATGTCAAAAAAGGAATTTTACAACTTTGGGGAGGGGAGGGGGGGAGATGGGAAGGGATGAGAAGGGGAAACAAAGGAGGAGGCAACAATGCTTGATAAGAAATGTACTAGGAGCCGGTGGCTTGTAGCTACTCAGGAGGCTGAGATCTGAGGAGCTCGGTTCAAAGCCAGCCCAGGCAGGAAAGTCCGTGAAACTCTTATCTTCAATAAAACTAGAAAACCGGAAGTGGCGCTGTGGCTCAAGCGGTAGAGCACTGGCCTTGAGCTGAAGAGCTCAGGGACATCACCCAAGCCCAGAGTTCAAGCCCCACGACCAACCAAAAAAGAAAAAGAAAAAAGAAAGAAATGTACTCATTACCTTACTCATGTAATTGCAACCCCTCTATACGGTATGAGAACTCCTCAGAACAAACCATTTTTATATCGCATCCATTACAGAAAACAATACTCAGAAATTATTCAGAGCATAGTAAAGAAACAAGAAGAAAGAATGCTTTAAAGTTACATTTCTCCTATTTTTTAAAAAAACTACTCAGTATTATTATACATAATATAAAAGATAAGTCCAGATATAAAAGAAAACATTAGAAAGGCTAAATTAAGGGAAAAAAGCTAACACAGAAGGGAAAAAAAGATGACAAATTCAGATGAAAGAAAAGAGGAGAGAGATAGGAAGTCTGACATATGTTGACTGGAAGCTCTAGAAGGAAAGGGGAAAGAGATGAGTAAAACAATGAAACACACAAACAGAAACCTTCCCCAGGTGAGAAGAAAGAGGCTTCAGATTGCAAAATCTCTGGTAAACACTAGGGAAGGAATTAACATATAGGCCTACACACTTGCGCACTCACATGTTACATGAGTTTCGGGGGGGCGGGGGGGAAGCAAACAAGAAGTAGCAGGTAATAACTGTAACTCCAACACACCACCAGCAAAACCTCTGAAATCTTCAGATTAAGCTCAGCAAGTCTTGGTAAAAGATGTAAACACACAAACAAATCTAGCTAGAACAAACTCCAGAGGATAACAACATAGCAGATGGCTATGGTATTTTAAAGATTTTTTAAAATAATTTTTAATTAAAGCACTTAAATTATGTCTGCTTTCTACTTTCTTGGGTAGGAAATAACTGGCAAAAAAGTCATGTTTATTTTATTTCTATTGATTTTAGGATTGTTTACATGAATGAAAAACCATTACGTCAGATATTTCACTATCTTTAAATAGTTGTACAAAGGAGTTGCCATTCAACATATGCATACAGTGCATCTTGGTCAGTTTTAATAGTACTCATTTTTCTTTCCTTCCTTTTTTTTGTTCCTCTACTGGCCCATTCAATTTACCCATTTTTCATTTTAGTCCAGGAGACATGATTACTCTTCTAGAGGATTCCAATGAAGACTGGTGGAAAGTAAGTATTACTTACCATGCCCTGATAGGCACAATACACATGCCTGTGGGGCCAGCCCAGGAAAAAAGGTAGCAAGAGCTGGGCGCAGGCGGCTCACGCCTGTAATCCTAGCTACTCAGGAGACCGAGATCTGAGGATCACGGTTCAAAGCCAGCCCAGGCAGGAAAGTCTGTGAGACTCTTATTCCAATAAACCACTAGAAAACCAGAAGTGGTGCTATGGCTCAAGCGGTAGAGCACTCTCCTTGAGCTGAAAAGTGCAGGGACAGTGCCTAAGCCCAGAGTTCAAGCTCCATGGCTGACCCTATCTCAATAAACAATGTGTGTTGAGGCATACTTGCTAGCCCATCTTCACAGGAGGTGTAGGTAGGAAGATCATGGTACCAGTCTGGTCCCAGGCAAAAAATAAAAAACAAAAAATCCTGAAATTCTACCCAAAAAGAAAACTAAAGCAATAAAAAGAGCTGGGTGTTGGAGTGAGTGGTTCAAGTGGCAACCAGTCAATCACAAGTGCAAGCAATCACAAGGCCATGAGTTCAAATCCGAGCGGGGAGAGAGACAAAAAGAAAAGAAGGAAGGAAGGAAAGAAAGAAAGAAGGAAAGAAAGAAAGAAAGAAAGAAAGAAAGAAAGAAAGAAAGAAAGAAAGAAAGAAAGAAAGAAAGAAAGAAAGAAAGAAAGGGAAAGGGGGAAAGGGGGAGGAAGTTACAATAAGTATTACAGTTACCTATAAATCCCTCCTGTTTTCTTTCAGGGAAAAATTCAAGACAGGATTGGCTTCTTTCCAGCCAACTTTGTCCAGAGAGTACAACAAAATGAGAAGATTTTCAGGTGTGTTAGAACCTTCATCGGGTGCAAGGAGCAGGGACAGATAACACTGAAAGAGAACCAAGTGAGTACCACACACAAACGCATACCAGGTGTCACGAAAGCCAGCCCCATACATAAGTCAGGACGAGTGAGATGATGAAGTATTTGCTTCACTTGGGAAAAGACATCCTTAGGCCAATAGTATTTGAACAAATAAGATCTCCTAACTCCAAAGGTTAGGAAAGTCGCTGTGTGGTGTATGCTCACAAGAGGAACCATAGATAACACAGGAATAGGGTGAGGGCATCTCATCCTTTGCTTGACCTGCAGACTTGCCAGTCATGGATATAAGGAAGCAGCCTCCTCAGTTTAAGTTCTGTGCTTTTGTGTCCACCAGTGTCTTTGAGGACAGTTTGTTATCTGCCGCTGTGCTCCAGGGCTCCTTGCATTTGCTTCTAATCACAGGGACCCTTTTTGGTCTTCTTTTCCACTGTTCAACAGACTACATAAAACTCAGTATAAACAACATAGATAACTAAAGACTAGCTCAGTCCCACAGGCGAAACCCCTCCCATCATCTAAGCTATAGGTGCTATGCACAGTCTCGCTCCTGGGCTACACTGAACGGAGTGTGCTTTAAAAGCTGTCCATTTTTCATGAATGCCCTGCTTGCCCTCCTTGCTTCTGGATTCTTGACTTCATCCTTGGAATGGTGATGCAAAGAAAGAAAACCACATCTTAACTCTGTCCATCCTCCCTTCTTCCAACGGAAAGAGACTTCCTTTCCTTCTTGCTTATCTGAAACTCCTCTCCTCTCATTTTTCTGTCCTCACTCTATTCTCTGACTTCCAAGTCTGATCTCAGTGCATTAGGAGAGGATTTGGGGAGTTAGAAATTTCTCTTTACTCCCAATAACAAACATCTCACAGTGGATTTCGAGTTCCAATTTAGGAAAACAAAAACTTGCCCCTCTCTTCCTGCTTTCTTGGTATAATAATTCTAATATCACTCAAGGCAATGAAGACCTCTAGTTGAAAATGATAAGGCTAACCCTGCCAGGAAGTACAATATGAAAAAAAATCCATTAATAATTGTAGTACATATTTGTTCAATAGAGTTGCCCAAAGCAGATCTTGAATGTCTTTTTTTTGGAAATCCCTTCAAAACAGTTTCTGAGTCACATATTTTTTTTAAAATCTCCCATTACTTTATATCTGATTTATAATCCTTTAAAGAAAAATATAGAAATAGTAGATTTTTAAAGCTAAATTCTCTCCTTATATTTAAGGAAATAAAAATATTAAAAAATAAGATAACATAATTCTGAGTATCTTTTTCCTCATCTGTATATTTTTACAAAAATGGTGCATGGAGTCAATGACTTGGGCTTTTCATAAATTCTAAGAGATCTAAGTCCGTTCATTTTGGATAGTATTTGGTTCCATATACCAAAAACCATGGAAACCGATCAACCTCATGAAGGCAGTAATTCTAGATTTTATAATGCACTCATGAAAATAATCAAATGCAAGAGGAAAGAGATGACAGACATCAGAGTGGTGTTCATAATGGTGGGAATTAGGAATCATGTCACATCACGATTATGTCAACAATAAGGCTTTACCACCAAAATAAAGTTAGAAAGGTGATGCTAGTCTTATGGACAAAATACTGGAAGCAGACCCAGGTCCCAGTCACTGCTCTTCTAAGTAAACATAAAGGGAGAAAAGCAGATGCAAAGGGGCCTGAAGCCCTACTTTTATTCTTGGAACCATGGCAAAACCGATTGAGTAGGAGATGTGATCCAGGGACTTAAAAAGGCCTCCTTCCTACAGCTCTCTCCCACTTCCACTCACCACCACCACAGGGTACATTGAGTCAGTCTCAGGTTCCAGTGGCATCATGGCCCTAGAGAAGATAAGAGTCATAAAATAGGGCAGCAAAACTGGTATCAGAGACCAGATGGTCTGGTCACTGCCATGACGAAGATTGAAAGAAGCGTTCACAGACAGTGGCAAACCCTGGACCATGTGTCTGAATCATACCTCCTGCTTCTTGCTTTTGGAGAAACAAGAGGAGAACTAGAAAGAACTTCTTTCTTTTTTTCTTTCTATTTGTCTTTAGGTCTTTGTATCTGTCTGTAGTTCTTTCTTTCTTTCTTTCTTTCTTCCTTTCTTTTCAGTACTTGGAATTGAGAGCCTCATTCTTGCTAACCAAGTATTCTACCATTTGAGCCACGCTCCCAGCTCTGTTGTTCACATTTTACTTTTGAGATAGTATCTCACCAGTTTTTCCTGGGCCAGCTTTAAATTTGGATTCTTCTTGCCTTCACTTCTGCGGTATCTGTGATTATAGCTGTGTGCTAGTGTACCTAGCTTCTCACCACCTTAAAAGATACTTGTAAAAAGAGTGAAGGATCTTACATGGAAATGATACAATGGGTGTAAAAATAATATGACTATGATATAAATATATTAAATATATAAATATAAGGACTTTTGACTTCCACTTGTTATTTTCATGGTATGAATTTTGAACACTTAAATTTAAAAGGAAAACAATAATAGTCTTATCTTGCTGAGGCTTCCTGAGCTTGCCCCAATATATGCAAGTTCATATATTTGTGATATACAAGACCACACCACACACTGCCCTGTCTAATGGTAGTGGCTGCTATCTACATAAATACCAATACTAGAGTTATTTGCCAGCTAAGCTTATTGACTCTGTGTGTGTGTGTGCGCGCGCGTGCGTGCACACGCGCGTGTGTATACCAGTAATGCGACTTGAACTAAGGAACTTGCTTGACTTTTTCATCCAAGGTTGGGCGAAATGTAAGCCTCCACTTGCAGTGCTTTGCAAGTAAATTGCCATTAACATTTGACTGTCGGGTCTGACTTCAAACTTTAATCCTCAGATCCATGGGTTTACAGACATGAGTCACTGGCACCTGCTAGCTTATTGATTGTTAAGATGTCTAATATTAAGAAATTGGTGACTTGAACGCTAATTTTTAACCAGGTTTTTAGAGTTTCTTTTGTAATTGGCATTCTCTTTTCTAAAACTTACTTACCTTATATGCCCAGTTTAGGACACACTGCATTTTGTAAATTTTACAACCTCTTTTTTTGCCTAGTCACTGTGGACATAACATATGTTTAAAGAGAACCACCAGGCACCAGTGGCTCATGCCTGTAATACCGTCTACTCAGGAGGCTGAGATCTGAGGATGGCAATTCGAAGCCAGCCTCGGCAGGAAAGTGTGTGTGAGACACTTGTCTCCAATTAACCACCAGAAAACCCAAAGTGGAACTGTGACTCAAGTGGTAGTGCTTTGGCTTTGAGCACAAAGAGCTCAGGGACAATGCCCAGACCCTGAGTTCAAGCCCCACAACCAACAAAAGAGACAGAGACAGAAAGAGAGACAGAGACAGACAGACAGACAGACAGACAGACAGAGATCAAAGCTGTGGTTGTTTTGCCATGATTTTCCACCTGAAGTCATTTCTTTTCCCTGAAGCTGGTGTCTGTCTTGACATGTCACTTGGCCAAAATCTCCACAGAGTAAGAGCAAGACACCCTCGTCCACCCACAAGGTGCTTTGCAAGTAAATTGGAGATGCAGTTTGTGACACATGACAAATAATCTTTAGTAACAGCCCACCTAGGGAATCCCACAATCCCTTCTTCTATAAGCTCACATGTCTACATTTTCAAGGTCACACATATCCTGTGAAGTTTGTAAATGATTATTCATTATTTCTATTTTTCTTTCCTTTTGGTTTTGCTGGTGGTGGTACTGGCGTTTGAACACGGAGCCTTGTGCTTGCTAGGCAGGTGTTCAATTATTTGAGTCCCCAGCTGTTATTTCTCTCTAGAAAGAGGAAACAAAGGTAAGGGCAAATGTTGCAGACCAGGAGACCTCTTGAAAGCAAATGATTGCTTATCTGGGCTGCCTGTGGAGCTGATCTCTGTAGCAGACATTGGAATCAACATCATGAAGCTGAGACCTCATCTCTAATGCCATGTACATCCCAAAGAGCAAACACTATTCCCATCTTGAAAGTCCTACCAACATTTCAAACTTCTCTAAGTTTATCCAACTATATCTTCCCTGTCCTAAAAAAGAGGAAAGTCTTTTAAGGAAAATAAACTCAGAAGAGATGCTGGAAATGTTACTAAGTAATTTTGCTACTGTGTTTGTTTGTTTCTTCAGAATAATCTTGGCATCCCCATTAGAGATAAGATTGTCTTATGTTATTAAATTACAAATCTGTGAAACCAGAAGACAAATTAAAATTTGTTCAGGTTGATCAGTGTCTAGAAACAGAACATCTGCTCAGTGTCTCCCACAAATTCCTTGGCATATTATCCCAAACAACTTTTGGGGGAAATGGTCCTCATATTGTAATTACTGCACCCTGTTGTTCTTCTGGGTAGGGGAGTCAGGTGAGCAGGGAGGAAACCCACCCAGGCACTACAGCTAGACATGCTAAAGATAAAACATGCCAGCACAAATCTGGAACCTAATAGATCTGCTTTATATGGGTGTTGAGCAAAATGCCATCATCCTTGATCTTCTGTCCAGTCTTCTAGTAGGGATTTTGGACCACCTGAATCAGACTCTCCTGTGAACCAGAATTATTTGTTAAAAATACATCCTAGAGGGCTGGGAAGGTGGCTCAGTGGTAGAGCGCTTGCCTTGCATTCTCAAGGCCCTGGGTTCGATTCCTCAGCACCACATAAGCAAAAAGAAAAAAGCCGAAAGTGGCACTGTGGCTCAAGTGGTAGAACGCTAGCCTTGAGCTGAAGAGCTGAGGGATACCACCCAGGCCCAGAGTTCAGGCCCCACTACCGGACCCCCCCCAAAAAAAAATAAATCCTAGAATATACTCAGAACTTCTCCAGTACAGATCATAGTAGACTTCTTTTACAAACTCCTAAACTAAAGGTTGAGAATGGCTTTTATTTCTATTATCTCACTTTAGGTCTGGCAGTTACTCTTTTTTTCTTTTTTTTGTCAGTCATGGGTCTTGAACTCAGGGCCTGGGCACTGTCCCTGAGCTTTCTCGCTTAAAGCTAG